TGACTCCCTGTGCAAACACTGCCCTTCTGTCCTCACATGATTGGTCGTTCCAAGGAGTTGTGTCTACCTAGTGTAAATGTTCACCCCGTATGCCTGTTGTTCTGGTTACCTAGTGCTACTGACAGGACAATACCACAAATGGAATGACTTGAACAAATAGGAGTTTATTCTCTTAGCATTTTGGAGGTTTTAAGTCTGAGTTCAAAGTGCCAGGCTCTAGGGCTTGGTGAAAGTCCCTCAGCCTTGGACTTCTCTGCCTTCTGCTCCTGGCTCATTGAAGCTGGAGGGTTTTCTTTACTCAGCTGCTGGCTGCTGAAGCTGACAAGCCCATGGTTGAGAAGTAAAAAGGCACAGTCCTAATGTTACCAGACAACATGGCAGACCGCTAATTCAAGTCCAGATGAATCCCAAGATCGGCAGGGCATGGCAGGCTATCAGACAGCGACTTGGCTGCATGTAGGGTTCAAGCGTGCCAAAGCAGACTACATTCCTAAAGCAGCTTGTGGTAGATCCCACCATGGAGTTGATTGCGAAGTCTCATCATGGGGAAGAGCCACCACCAACTGCCCAGCCACTCAGCCAGGCCCAGCCAAGTTGACACACAGCCTTAACTACCACATCTGTCTATTGTTTGGCTGGAAGCCACAGGAGTGAGTTCAGTTTCAGACCTGAAAGCTGGCTAGGGGCCATAGTCTCGGGAGTCTCACCAGGCTCTATCAGACCAGCAAACAGATCCCAGTCACTACTCACCAAAGTAGGATGTAGAACGACGCTCTTGTGTAGTATGTAAGCTTGATGTCCCTTGTGACCATGGTCTTGAGCCCACAGGACCAACTACTCATTCCCTCCAGGTGGCTGGCTGTGGCCAGGAAGCCACCACATCCTTGTCCCTTGTCAGTTCTACTGTACACCTGACATTCTTACAGCATATACAAATACACATGTAGAAATACTGTCTGTTGACCCTATACATGGTCATGGGCACACTCCCCCCTGCCTAGACATACCTGATCATTCAGCCTGTCCACCAATCCGTCCATCCATAGATCAATGCCTGCCATCACTGACAACACAGTACTGTACATGCAGAAGGTTGGTTTGTTGTCTGTACCTCCCCTGCACCTCTCTATGTGTTCCTATTCCTCAGTGCCACTGTGTTGATCACTCACAATTGGTACGTTGCCCTTCCCTTCACCCAAATCAACACTTGTCTCTACCTGTCTAGCAGTGTTCCTACCCCTCCCCTCCCCCCGACCCCAGTAACCAACAAAGAAAGTTTCCTTCCACATATAAACCTTTCCTTGGCTTTTTAAAATAATGAACTAATACAGTATTTATCCTTCTGTGATTTATTTCTCTCAGCAGAACATCCTCCAAGTTCATCCATGTTCTGCGATGTTTTGTAGATACTACATTATTCTTCAGTGTTGAATGGTATTCCATTGTGTGTATATACCATAGTTTGGTTATCCATTCTTCTGTTGATGGGTACCTAGGTTGTGTCCATCTTTTGCTATAGTGAACAGTGCTGAAGTGAACATGGGTGTGTGCATATTTCTGTTCTTGTCCTGGCTTTCACTTCTTTAGGATATATACCTAGTAATGAGATTGCTGGATCAAATGGTATATCCAGCTTTTTAAGGAATCACCATACTGCTTTCCACAGTGATTGTATCATTTGACAGTCCCGTCAGCTGTTTATGAGAGTGTAAATCTATCTACTTCCTTGCCAGCATTTGTTACTTTCTGTCTTGTTGAACTTTGCTGTTAGTGCTGGGGCAAGGTGGTATCACATTGTTTGTTTGGTTTGCATCTATGGGAGCTCTGGTAGCATAGTGCCTAAGGCACCTGACTGCTAACCAGAAGGCTGGTGGTTCAAACCTACCAGCCACTCCTCAGAAGGAAGATGGGGCAATCTACTTCTGTAGTCATACTGCCTCGGAA